GGCAGGCGGGGGCGGGGAGGGAGGGAGCTGCGGCCGCTCTTAACATGTAAAAATCAATTACATGTGCAGCTACCCCGGAAGTAAGACTTAGCGCTATCTTCAGGGATTTCTGTAATATAAGACCTACCCTGAACTAGGTCTTATTTTCGGGGTAGGTCTTATATTACAGAAATCCCTGAAGATAGCACTAGGTCTTACTTTCGGGGTAGGTCTTACTTTCGGGGAAACACGGTAGTTACAATTCTACCCTGCTAACTTGAATAGGTTAAATGTTAACCTATTCAGGTTAACTGTGGGGAATTGTAACTATTTCTGCAGTGTGCTGGAGGTGTGTACTGTGTACCATAGATCATTTAACAGTTAAAGGAGAACTATGAGATGAGTGATTTCCACTCACCTCATAGTTCTCGCCGACCTGTGACAATGAGACTGTCACAGGTCGGCTCAGTAGATCGGGAGGTGAGCAAACACATACCAGGTTCGCTCACATCTCAATCCTGTCACGGCTCTCTGCCGTGACAGGGGGGGGCTGGATTGCCCTCTCCCCGCTCCATTCTGCCAGCACTGACTGGCGGAACGGACGGGGAGGGGGCGGGTACAGCTGGCTCTGCCTCTAGATAGGCAGAGCCAGCTGTCACTCACGCAGCTGGGCGGATCCCGTCATCTACGTCGGGATCCGCTCCGGCTGCGGCGTCTCAGTATACCGCAAGCTCTAGCTCGCGGTATACTGAGCTTAGGGTAACGGGAGGACGCTAGTTTGTGTCCTCCCGTTACCCTAAGGAGAACTATGGGGAAAAACACTGACCCCATAGTTCTCCTTTAAATGATCCATAGTGCCAGTAGGGAAATAGTTAATAAGATTCTGAGGTTTATTTTCTTTATATCAGTCATAAACTCTGGAGTCCTTGACCATTTGTAGGTGAGAAAACTAGGTGACATACACCTTCCACCCTTCTACCAGCCAGTACTCCTCACAATGTGTGTGTGTGTGTGTATTGTGAGATTTAGCTTTAAATGGTAGTGCATTAAGAACATAGTCCACTCGCAAAAAATTATTTTTAGGGCCCACTTTTTTTTAAAGTTCACACAAGTTTTCCCTCACAGGGGCTTCTCCAGCATAATAAAATAAAACATCACTTGTCTCAGCAAAATCACAGTTGTCAAAGTCTCACTGGATCCAGGTTTTCACTTTAACAAAACTTCTGCCACATAGGCTGTATACCACACACTGGCCACACAGGCCACACAGGCTAGTTCTCCATAACTTACCACACAGGCTGGTTCCAGGATGGAGCCCTCCTGACTCCTGGACAGACACCTCCTCTGTCTACCAGGTGGAACCCTGAACATTAGCCAGAAGCCTTTTCATAAGGGTTGTGCACAGGTGCACAATCATTGAATGATGGCTAATACTGAAGCCTGGACCCAAGAATGGAGATTTCGTCCTTCCCATTTCTAAATCGGGTTTTGCTGGTGGCAACACAAAGAATCCACCATTATCTGTAACACACCCTTATTTGGCAGCAGTGGCAAAATTATTCCAATCAGACATTCAATTGCCAATACACACACTGTCTGGTAGATTTTAAAAATGCATGTGTTTGTGTACATACAAAGAGGGGAATTTATCAAAACTGTAGCAGACAAAATCTGGAGCAGCTGTGCACAGCAACCAATCAGCTTCTCTCTTTCATTTTCAAATCTTAACTGAACAAACTGAAGAGAGAAGCTGATTGGTTGCCATGGGGAACCACTCCAGATTTTTTCTGCTCCAGTTTTGATAAATTCCCTTTAGTATGTCTTGAACTAATCGAGCATAGGAAATTCCCATGATCCCTCTGCTTCGAAAGCTTCTGAACAAAATGAATGCCAGGTATTAACCCAGCAGTCTATCTTTAATACACACACAGAAAGAAAGGTTTTATGATTTTTTTTATTTATTTACGAAATAAATAAAAATAGTGATAGAATGGCTGAGTAATAGAATTTTGGTAAGTTTCTAAAGATTGACAGTTGGTAGAGGTCCCGACAACCCCTGTTCTCTTCTCCCATTTGTTAAAGACCTTGCTCTACCTCATACCAAACAGCTGGGGAACTAAGCCATGTTGAATTCACAATAAATTCTTCTGTAGCAGACAACTGAATATGAATATGTTTTTGATGGACCCAACTCTCAAGATTGCTTACCATAATTCTAATATGGCTTTGCATTATGCCCTGACTTGTTCTTTCCACTTTAACAGAAATGACTTTCTCAAGGAGATAAAAATAATGTCTAGATTAAAGGATCCGAATATAATCCGACTACTGGCTGTGTGTATTACTGAGGACCCGCTATGTATGATTACAGAATACATGGAAAATGGAGACTTAAACCAGTTCCTTTCTCGTCAGCCAACAGACAGAGAACAGCCAAATGCCACGTTCAGCATCAAGTAGGAATCTTTTTATGCTTAAAAAACTTTTTATCTAGCTCTGGGTATGATATGTCTGATGATTGGTAAACTTTTTCACTGTAAATTTTTTAAGTGCATTGATGTGTATTGACGTAGTATAAGTATCAAAGTCATGTCCTAGGTGGACATGGACCTTTACAAAAATGTGTAAACTTTTCTAACCTAAGTGATATTGTACCTCTTCTCTTTTAATAGCAACAAATCTTTGACTGATTTGTAAAATACATGTTTTCCAGCTACTCAGACCTCAGATACATGGCTGCACAGATTGCTTCTGGCATGAAATACCTTTCTTCTCTTAACTTTGTGCATCGAGACCTTGCAACAAGGAATTGCCTTGTTGGTAGGAATTATACAATCAAAATTGCTGATTTTGGAATGAGTCGGAACTTGTACAGCGGTGATTATTATAGAATCCAGGGGAGGGCTGTGCTCCCTATAAGATGGATGTCTTGGGAAAGCATCTTAATGGTGAGTGAAAGCTGCAGTTTCCTTTTCATAAATTTACTGTGGCAGACACAATTTCCAGCATTTATTCATATAGAGCAATTCTAATCACCTCTACACCAATAATGCAGCATGTCCAGACAAAGTGATAATGAGCAATTATACTTGAGTCATCTAAAAAACCAACTAGAGCAATAGTTTATTTTTATAAAGGTCACTTAGAAAAACTAAGCCAGTAAATATCCTTTAGTTAAATCAGACCTTGCAATACAATGCAAGGTCAGTTTATAATGTCTGGGGCCCCTCCCCCCTATAGAAATCATGAAAGCATGTGCAAAACATACCTGTAAAGAAAAAAGTTAGATTTTATAATATTTTGTACGTACTGTCAGAAGGCGATTCTTACCCAGGCCTGACATTATAGGCAGAACTTGCATTTAAATCTTTAATATACTGTACATAGACGTTCTTGGCAAATTTGTGCACAATTACCCTTCACATACATTTGGACTGGATAGGGACATTTTAGCAACCAGAGAATTAACTTGCAAGCTCCATGCAGTTAATTCAGTAATCAGAATGGAACCCAGGGCAACTGAAAAAGCAGTAATGCTAGGCAATGAACAATATTTTCTGCTGGCTTCTTTTCAACATAAAAAGCGATGAATACAAAATATTACATTGACAATTTAACTTTTCAAAATAAAAACTGTCAGGTAATAGAACCAGATTATGATGTATATTTACTTTGTGCCTTCACCTAATTTTATCAAAAGTAGGAAAATATTTATGAATCATAAAAATATTATATAAATACACGATTGTCAGGAAATAGTGAGCTTGTCTTCTGCCCGGGTTGATCAAAGACGGCAAAATAACTTTGTACAATAATCAGAGATATAAAAAATATAACAATAAATGTAATTTCTACAGGGGATTATCTTTCAATAACATGAACCTAGGATGCAACAAAATATACAATAATTAAGGATATTAAGTGATTAAGCTTATAGTAAGTCACAATTTCAGAGATGTATAAAATACAGGTCAATCAACTATTCCGAATGAAAAGATTTAAAATCAAACTAGCCCAAGATTACTTTAGGCAGTCGTCTCCACAAAAAAGTATATTCATCAGATCAGTCTTATCAAGAAGTGCCTTAGGACATGGAACCTAAGGAAATCATTGCTGCTCGAAGCCTGTGAAGTTCTTTCCCACTGTTTTCCCATTTGGTATCTATAATGATTTGCTATATTTGTTCTGGGTGTGTCTATGCAATATCACACCTGGTCACTAAGGGTAAGTCCACTCTGGCTAACTTGTAAACTTCCTATGAAAGAATTGTGCTGTTTTTTTTATAATACAGACTTAAATAAACGTGTATATATACTTTGTCTTGTAATCTCAGTCATAATGCAGAATTATAGTTCTATGTGTTAATAGGCACTAGTGTGTGTCAGTCTTCTAGTGTTCCTTGGGCTGGTTTACCAATTATTTGATTCATTTCAAACATTTCAAACATTTACCTGATATTATATCAAATACAATACAGTTCTGCAACAATTTCCTTTACACCTTGATATTTTATTGTTATTCCAATGAAGGCAGATCGCGGTATACTGAGATGCCGCACCGGAACGGATCCCGACAATTATGTCTGGATCCACCCAGCTGCTTGAGTGACAGCTGGCTCTACCTATCTAGAGGCAGAGCCAGCTGTACCCTCCCCCGTCCGTTCCGCCAGTCAGCAACTGGAGGATCGGGCAGGAGAGGGGGGAATCCAGTCCCTCCCCTGTCACGGCTCTCTGCCGGCAAAGGATCGAGAAGTGAGCGAGCGCCGGTATGTGTTCGCTCACTTCCCGATCTACTGAGCCGACCTGTGACAGTTTCATTGTCACAGGTCGGCTCAGATTATGATTGAAAATTACTCACCTCATAATTCTCCTTTAATGGGGAAAATAAAATTCATTCAAAGCCCCCTATGGCTGGTCCACTTGCCGATTGGGCGACTAGGTTTTCCCAGGATAACATTGCTTACTCATATCTAAAGTGATATATATAATTTATCAGAATTGATTATCTATTCCTTCTTACATCCTAGGCAGTTAGGTTACAATCATATACATGTAATTATTTTCAGAAATATATGGGAATACAAAATCTTCTCTACATTATGCAATGTAAGTTGTTTAAAATTGTCTTGTGCATAAGTAAGCTGTACAACGTAGTTGTCAGCAGTTCTGGCCAATGAGTCACCTATGTTTATCCAGAAGAAATAAAGCCCTGTGTTATGTAGCCTTTCTATTTTAAAACAATAGCTTGGGGTCTGAATTGACTATGAGTTTCCTCTTCCTGGTTGTATATGGGGCTGTAGAACATCTCAGTCTCCTCAGCTGTATTATAAATGGGTACATTTCTTGCAGTATCACCAGATCTTGTTTTATTAGTGAATTGTTGATTCTTCTATATCATTTATGATATAGTCAAACACCTCTTCTAGACACAGAAGATTTCCTCACCAGGTGGCCCCATTTGAATTTCAACACAATGGAGAGAATTTAGTGTTTGGCATTTGACCTTACTCTGTGGGAAATGACTTTAGCTGTATAAACATTTGGCAGCCATCTTGTTCACTTCCATACAGGCCTAACTGGCGTGTATCATAGGACACTTGTGTTATACTATGAAACAGTTTGTTAAAGAATTTGTTTTATAAATCTGTTTAATTTGCTGAGCTGTTATAATGAAAGAACGTTAATATGAATCTTTACACTTTAACAACAGGGTAAATTTACAACAGCAAGCGACGTGTGGGCATTTGCAGTTACTTTATGGGAGATGTTGACTTTTTGTCGTGAGCAACCCTACAGTGAAATGTCTGATGAGCAAGTAATTGAGAACACCGGAGAATTTTTCAGAGACCAAGGAAAACAGGTAACAGAGAAAAACATATTAATCATGTAGATTATAATGCAAGGGCATACAACAAGCAGTTGAGCTTTGCTTGGCCTTGCTCTGAAAATCTTAATGGCCCGTTCTGCACTTGTGTTAAGGCAACATGCTGTCATGGGTTAAGGTACTGCATTAAGACAGCCCATTCATTTTGATTAGGCTGGCAGCACACCTAAACACACCAAAATACCCACCTGCAGCAGATTTGGCAACACAGCGCACGCAGTGTATGTTGTGGTGCGCTGTACTGCAGGTGTGCTGACGGCCGCTAATTACCATGATGCATAATTGAGAATGGGCACTTACCAAAGTAGGTCAGTTGAGGTCAACTAATGTATATCCACTTTAGTAGTGGTGGTAAACATGGTAAAGATAGGGGCCCTCAAGTGTAATCCTGACATGTCTAGAGGGCCACACAATAGCTTAATTTTTGTTAAGGTGCTATGGTTTTTTATTAGGATGATATTATTAGTTTTAGTGGTTGTCAGATAGGGCTTTAATTTGTTAGCAGATAAGTCTACATGTATTTTATTTCCTAGTATAAGTTTGGTCAATATAATCAATGATGCAAAGAGTCCCGATATTTTTGTGTGTTCACTCTCTGCAGTTTAAAGAATTAAAAAAGCCAACAAGCGCATGGGAGTTTCGTCATCTCAGCATCCCGGGTCTGAGACTTCCACAATCTATTCTGCTATTAAAAAAACCTGCCCATTAGTATTTTAAAAAAAAGCAAACAAGCTTCACTTACACGTTCACAGATATTCGCAGGGAGAATACCCCTGCAAGTTGTTTATAAATAGAACCCCTAGTGTAACATTAAGATACATTTGTATGTGCATAGACAGAAATGAGCACAAAAGTGAAATTGTGATGAATAAAATTCAGACTTTGCTGGTATAGATCTTTTTTGTAGAGAACTGTTGCTGCATTGTGAACTACTGTGTTACTCAGGTTATTCAAAGTATCGGCTGCCAGTGCATGACCCACACAATGCTCTTTGCTGTTACTTTTAAACCCAGCCTACTCTTGTTATCCTGTTATACCTTTTAAAACATAAGTACCCAACACACAAAGAAAACCTAATGCATCTGGTGTATGTGCAAAATAAATAAAGTGGGTCTGAACTAAAAAAATAAAGATTTGCTATGTTACAGGGAACATCTGAAAATGTTAATTGTACCCAGCAGTACCCTGAAAAATTTAATTTTCTTCTGGAATGTCTCCACTACACTTCCTGTGCCTACAGCCTCATAGCTGCATCTCTGCAGTGTAAGATCTAAGTCACTGCTGCTTCTGACTTCTGGTCTCAGGAGATTTGAAATGAGATTTGGTGATGTCATTACTGTGCTCCTCAATGTTCTCTTTGCTGGAGGTTCTGACATGAGTCAGCACAGCCCTATTTCTATATATGTAATAGGAATGAAAATGAAGTTGGCCCTAACTTCGCAGCTATAGCAGCCTCTTCTGGGAAGGCTGCTTACAAGATTTCAGAGTTTGTCTGTTGGAATTTGTGGCCCTCTGGTCAAAAGCACATTTGTTAGGTCAGGTACTGATGTTGGCCAAGAAGACCTGGCTTGCAGTCAACGTTATTCCTCATCTTTTCTGTGTAATATATTAATTGTAGTATTGATAATAAATGTAATAAAGCTTTGATTTTGTATTTTGCTAGGTGTACCTTCCTCAGCCAACCATTTGCCCAGATGCAATTTACAAAGTTATGCTAAGCTGTTGGAGAAGAGAAACTAAAGATCGCCCCAGCTTTCAAGAAATCTATCAACTATTGCAGCAGTCTGGTGTAGAAGATTAATCACTGTGGATCTATTATTAATCACCAAATAAATTGTAATGAAATATGTATATAGGACATTGGAAGGAGTCATTTAAATGGCTGACAACAATGGAGGAATCCTAGGAATATCATTCCATACTTTTACATTTTTACATGAGCAACAATAGCATTTCCGCTCAAAATAAACATGGTCTTCTAATATATAAAGTTACATATTTAAACATGTCATGTAAACAAGTAAACTGATTTACTTGATTCCAAGTTTGACCAGAATGGGCCAGTACCTTCAAAAGCAGTGCAAGAGCCCACCCATATTCATCAGAGCCTTCATCACTTCACCACACAGTGTTTCTCGTCACATCATATTATTTATTATCATCTGCTATGTGCTGCAATGTTTTACTAACAGAAACTGTTGCTACTTTTTGACACCAAATACAATCCCTTACAGCCATTTTATATTTGGCAATGTAAGCTGTAACCATTTTCTACTATTTCTCACTTATTTGTAAGCCCATATACACCTTTGCGTTTTGATGCGTGCTAATGTATGTAGCATTAAGGCAGCACATTTATAATAAATGTGCTGCTGACACACCCTAATGTGCCTAAAATCATGCATGACCCTTTTTTATAACACAACACTGTACTGTTTTTTGGCTTGCATGGCGGCATGCTACAACACGGGTGCGTTTCCTAAGTGCATTGGGCTGCTGTTCAAAATTAATGCATGTTATTGCAACGTGGAAGTGTGAATCCGATCTTAATGGATCAAGGTGATAACCACACTACTGTCACAAACACATATGCAACATGGATAAGACTAGTTATAGGTATATTAGTCACTTAGGGTCACTAAGCAATGGAATTGAAAGTGGTCAGCAAAGGGCTATAATATTTAAGATCTATTTTGTGCTAGTCCTCTTTGTACTTTAATAAACCAGGTCCCTGGAGATCTCACAGTTTTTTTGCCACTGTTAAATAAAGATCACCATATATACAGTTTAGACACACAATCGGCTGTTCACAGTAAATATATACATACATTATTGTTGTCATTAGTCACTAAATACCACCTGTGTTGTACATTTTTTTTTTATCTGCAGGTCCTTCCTTCGGGCACAAAAACTTTTATTTTAGATATTCCTTAATAGCCTTAAATATTACAGGAAGCTCTTGCACAAAGGCATACATGACGACATGTCTTTTGTACTTAGATAATATTTGCTTATTCCGGAGTTCAGCTTTACACTAAATGTGCCATTCCACACATTTTAGGCCACAGAGAAAAATTTGCATCTCTTTTTTTTAAATCTCCATAATTTTTTAGTAGTAAATTTAGAAGATACTGTATATAATTGCCAAACGCATGTCAGCCATTTTGTGGATTTGTTTCCTTTGATTTATTTAAAGCTGTACTATAGAAATATATATAAATATACCAACTAATTAAATTATATCTAAAGCCAAAACTTTTTCTTTCATTTTGGATAGAGTAAGGAAGGATTACAATTGCTAAATTTTTTTCTTTTTTGCCATCTGTGTCACATTGGGATATATTTCCCTTCACTTTCTGTCCTGTACTTAACAGGAAGTGAGAGGATATCTTTTCAATGTGAGGGAAATCTGCTCTTAGGTGGTTTCACAGGAACAAGTATGCCTGTTGGAAGATTTCCCCTCCATTCCTGTTCTTGTGGCAACTCAATGGATCTACCTTCACACTCATTCCCGGTAACACTGGTGATCAGTACAATTAGAAAGAAGAAATCTCCCTAGTGGGGACATAGACAGCAATAATGACCTGGCAGTGGTTCTAACCCCTCAACAATCTATCCAAATCTACAAAAAAGTTGCTTTTAGTTTGACTTTGTTTTCTTTGAACAAATCAAAAATATAAAATATTTGCCTTGACTTGATATCAGCTGCATCAGTTACTTCTGCTGTTCTCTTGTATTACATTTTTTTTTGACTAAAAAGGTGTTGTTTCTTGTGTATATATTTTAGATGTAAGGCTTAAGTAAAAAAAAAATATATATTTTTTCCTAGCAGTTTTTCGTTGCGCAGTTACAAGCTTTAGACACTATGGGGTCTATTCACAAAGCTGCCGAGGGCAGCCGAGTGAATGACCGATCAGAAGTGAAGTGAGCCGAACACTGTTCGGCTATTCACTTCAGGCTGGTACGGCGGATTTCAGCCGTATATCGGCTGAAATCAGCCGTACATCGGCTTGCTTCGTGTGGCTTCGGATCAGCCGAACATGCTCAGCATGTTCGGCTGATCCGAAGCCACACGAAGCAAGCCGATGTACGGCTGATTTCAGCCGATATACGGCTGAAATCCGCCGTACCAGCCTGAAGTGAATAGCCGAACGGTGTTCGGCTCACTTCACTTCTGATCGGTCATTCACTCGGCTGCCCTCGGCAGCTTTGTGAATAGACCCCTATATTTGGTGATCAGACATGACACAGTTGTCTTGTTGGATAAAATGTTTTGTTATCCAATGCTGCTGCTGCTCCTCTGCAAGCACAGCCCTACATAAGCTCAACTTGGCCAGGAAACAAATATTTAAATTACATACATTATATATATTTGTATTTTTTACCCTTTCTATGACTGTCACAAACAGAAATAGAACCATAATTACTAAAATGCAACTTCTCCTGAGGACATTCAATATAAAAATCATCATAAAAAATAAAATAACTTGAATTCATAACCTTTCATCTTTTATTCAACAGGTATAAATATTTTCAAATCTTAATTTTTTTGCATATGGTACTGGCATTCTCATGATCCACTGCTGTTTTACCTGCTATTTTGTCCATTGTTTAGTTTGCTGTACATAATGTCAAAATTTTAAAACTCCATTACTGCTTATACTTCTGCTAATACGTCTATGCAAATTTAATCTGCCATATTAGATAAAAACATTTTCATTATTTTTCATGTTTTGTTGCTTTTAATTATTATATTATCACAATGTTGTGCTGGCAATATTAGGCTTTAAGTTGGAACTGAAATTGTGCTGTATCCCCACCAACGCCCCTCTTTCTAAATAGATTACCACTCTAAAGCTGGCACTGCAAGCTGAAGGAGAAAAAAAACTTGATTCCAGCCATGCAAAAAAGCACTTGATTCCCCTCCTACCCTTTTGAATCCTGTTAGTGTGGAGGGGGGAATCCTATCAAGCTGCTGTCACTGTTCGGCTGAGAATTTTTGAATGGCCCTTTGACAAAGGTTGATTGAAAAATTGACTTTGGATGAAAACAAGGGTGCCGATGGAGGCACACACTGATTGAATTTCCTACTAATTCAGATTAAATTCAAGCAGTGTATGACCAGCCTAATCAAACATTTCTTCCTTAAAGCAGACCTTCATTTAATAAATACACTTTCCACCTACCCAATTCTCCCCCCTCCACAGCATGAAATAGCAGCTCTTCTTTAAAAAAAAAAAGTTTTATATACCTTTTTATTCTTTAAATTAAGTCATTAGCTCTCTGACTCCATTCCTGCCTAGTCAATAACAACATAGTTTGCCTTTCCCTGTAGCCTGTTGGGAAGCCTGCAGCTTCCTGAGCTACCAATTCCACATATCTCAGGTGGCTGCAGGCTTCCAAAGATCGCAGATCGCGCTTCATCAGAGGGCTGGCTACAGGAATCAGGAAGAGAAAGACAGCCCCTTGATGACATCAGAGAGGAAGATGGCATGGCAGGATGAGACCTGGAGTCGAAGAGACTGGTGCGGGAGAAGAGGACAACGCTGGATCCGCCAGGGTTGAAATTATATTTATCCAGCATAAGAAAAGCAGAAAATATAAGGAGCACAAAAACTATTTTTTTTTGGGGGGGGGAGGCTGAAGTTCCTCTTTCAGCCTCCAATAAAACCTGTATATTGATGACAGCAAGCTCTACATATCCACTCCAGATGTGTCTCCTCCATGTCCCAACGATCATTTTAAATTGCTGCTAACCTAATTATCACTTTTCCATTTTATACCATTACCTGGCATATTAATACAAATATATAAATGCTCCTTCAAAAAAAAAGATACAAATAAATGTGAGGCTGAAAAGTACCCAGTTTATCAATCCAATCTGCCTCACATCTCTTGAGGGTTAATTCACAATCTCCTCCTCTCCACTTGGGCTGAATTGGTTGACCCACTGTTGCATTGCACCAGTAATTGTTATCGTGAAATGCAGTTTACCTACACTATATACACTGAGTGGCCAGATTATTATGACCACCTGATGTTTGTAGGCAAATTAGCTATAATTAGCTATAATTTCTCGCTGAAGTTGCTAGAGGGCCACACCATTATAAATAGGGAAGCAGGTTGTTTACCACAACAGTAGAAGTGATTTTTTTCTGAAGATATGGGTAAACAATGCGATTCAACAGCCTTTGAACGTGGGATGATTGTTGGCGCTCAAGCCATGGAGCGAGTATCAGCAAAACAGCAGAATTCGTTAAATGTTCAAGAGCAGCTGTTGTTAAAGTGTTTAAAGACTGGACTGTCAGCCGAAAATCTGGGTCTGAACGTGCGAATTTTGGTCAGCGACTAGTCAATGTTCGGGCAGAACGGCGAGTGGCAAGACTGGTACAAGACAACAGAAGGGCAACAGTGCAGTGTCAGATTCCTCGCATCACCTTTCAACATCTCGTGGAGTCACGTGGCGGCCCAACAAAGTCATCTCGTGGAGTTATCTCGTGGCCCAACGAAGTACTGATGGGGTGGTCATAATAATCTGGCCACTCAGTGTATATATAGACGTATGTAATGTTACAGAACAGGGTCTCGAAGGATGTGTAGGCTACCACTGCAATCCACAGTATAATACAGTATCTTTAAACACTATATTCTGTACTTCTTATGAGAACCTGGTGTCAATGCCCTGTCAGTGGTATAGATTTGTATGCATGTTTTACACTTTTTCCCTTTTGAAAGTTTTTAGTTAGCCAATGCTTCAACCTTAAAGTTTCTACATTTTAAGTATCCAGCACTGATTTATAAACACAACATTTTCATGGTTACTAAACAAAATGTAAAAGTAAAAGTTGCCTCTGTATTTGATATTTTAAGTTACATAGAACGTTTAAGAATG